ACGGTTCTTTTTTTTTGTTGCAATTTCTCTCATGACGTAATATATTTTATAGATATCTGTGATTGAGCCGGAAGAAATTGTTTTTGGTGACGTACCTCCTTTTGTGACAAATGCCGGACGTCAGCAGTTCCTCTTTCCTGTTTTTCTTAAGCGGGGTACTACCTTTTCCAATGTGCATGGTATGCAGTTATAGTTTCCTTAATTTTGCTTTGAAGCATCTTAAAATTTAATAAAAGTTCGTTTGATTGTCATTTTTAGATTGTGATGCGCAAAACATTGAGAAGTTAAGTGAGCTGAAGGCACCTTTTGACTGCGTTGTATACTTTGAAAAGGATTCATCGGTGTCGGCGCAAAAACTGTTTTTTACTCGTTCTATATTTAGTTCTGTTTCGAGTAAGACAACAAATTTTGTTATTGTTCGTTACACTAGTTTTTCTTAACATTTTTTAACTGGAAATTTTTACCAAATAAGTTTTGTAGGGGATTTTGGGAATTTTGTTCTTTTTTGCTCATTCGAGAACATCTTTTCATTTCGCGAAAAATAATTTATGGTTTTTTTTTTTAGACTCTTACGCTTGTTTGGTAGAGAAGATGTCCGTGGAATCAAACAGCAATTTTATGAAAGACGTTGAGGGAACTTTGGTCATAAAAGCTGTTTTAAGCGTCTTTGGGAAGGTATTTGTATGATTTTAACTTGCTTCTCACATTCTTCTTGACCTCCTGCAATAAGCTTCTGGACTTTTCTTAGTCTTCAAAATGTTGAAGGATTACAAAGCGGAGAGTGAAACAAGATTCTATCCAAGTTTTGAAGTTGAAGAGAAAGAGTTACGCTTCGATAACTTGCGTTCTGAAGGCACAGTAATTATTCGAGCAGCTAATTCTATAAAGCCATCTATTTCTGTGGAGGCCTGCACTGAAGATGTGTTGCTCATTAAAAAAAGAAAATCAGCTGTTACGCAGAATTTGATTTATGACGTGAAGGTAAATTTAGACACAAGTATTTCTCAAACAAAGTGCTTTTTTTTGATGACTCATTTTTTTAAGCTAAATATCAATTCCGCGTTATTATGGGAGGAATATTTAAAAACATGCAATTTAACTATTAAAAGTGCGCTAACGGGACAGACGGAAGAGGTTCCTATAAGAATCCTTTTAGGCTCCGACGCATCTAAGGAAATCAAATTTGGTAAAAATGCTTTCAAAAGTTAATATAATTCTTTACTATCTCGTTCGCTTTCAGACTAATTTTATTCTGAAGGCGTATTGCACAGTAACAAAGGCACTGAGATTTATAATCGGGTGTTTTTTTTGCATAACATTCTTATAAAATTCTTTCCCTTTCAGCTTCTGAAAGCTTCATTAATCGACTGTATCAAAAGGCTATGTTGTACTTTAGCGTTCTGGGAAGTTTATTAATAGCGGGGTTGATTGCATTCTTAACTCTCGGTACTGGTATTTTTTCTTATTTTATAGTTTTTAAGACAGTTTATTGCCGTTATTTCGAAGTATTTTTTTCATGGTTATTTCTATAATTTCTCAGTTAGTGTTATTTTTAGCTTGGTACAAAGGATATTCAATTATTCCTGCATTATTTGCTCCTGGTTACAAACTACAACCTGGAGTGACTGGTGTTTTTGCTTCGGATCGCACTTCTCCA